CACTGGGCGCAGGTACACACTGGACACAGAGAAGCTCCTAATACCATTGTCATATTACATAGTGTTCTGTTAGACCAGATATATCTAAATAGAACACTGGGCGCAGGTACACACTGGACACAGAGAAGCTCCTAATACCATTGTCATATTACATAGTGTTCTGTTAGACCAGATATATCTAAATAGATCACTGGGCGCAGGTACACACTGGACACAGAGAATCTCCTAGATATATCTTCAAAAAAAAACCCACTGAACATGGATGATACCACAAAAGTACATAAGATAAAAGAATGAGGAAATTCTGAGACCAGAAATATTTTTTAAAACACTTGACATGAAGAAGAGCACAAAAAAGCTAAAAAATATCCTTAACATTCTGAGACTAGAAATATCTCCCAAGCTTTTAATTTTCGTAGTGCATTATAACAATAACATTTACAAATATTTGATTAAGTCTACAGGATAATGCTGTAAAGCAATTTGTCCTTATTTAAATATAATATCTTCAAGTGTTTTTTTCTTGTAGAAAATAAATTATGCTGTTTCATTCCATTTCAGTTAAATATGCCTTTTTTTTTTATTGTCATAGATAAATTCTAGCCAAAAAAGGGAAAGGTAAAATTATACACAATATTTCATTAACCCTTTCAGGACTGTAGACCAAAATGGACTCATCCAGATCAATGCATGGTCTACTAAAGTTTCATAGGGGTGAAAGGGTTAAAGGGTTTGTGTTGAAAAGAGTTGGGAAAATGTCATAATAAAGCTTTTGCCATACTTTGTAGGGATGGTATCACCAATGCAGGTGTCGAGGGTGACCCTCATTGTAGAGATGGTCAGTGCAGTTCTCGGAGCCTACCCTAAGGCTGTGGAGGAACTTGACCAGATCATTGAATGTCTGTATCAGCTTATTCACAGGTTAGATTAAGACATTTCTCACTTAACTGTTAATGGTCTTTGTTGGCTTATACACAGGTAAGATTATTGATATCTGTGATTATGGTATGTTGGATCCACTGTACATGACTCTGGTTTTTAGGTCACCTGAGCTTTGCTCAAGTGACCTATTCTAATCGCTTTTCATCCGTCGTCGTCCGTCGTGCGTAAACTTTTTACATTTTCAACTTCTTCTTAAGAACCAGTGGATGGATTTTTGCAAACTTTTGGTAGTTGAGGCTACAAAATTGTAAAATTGGGATTCCTACCCCAACCCCTGGGGCCCCAAAGGGAAAATTAACCAATATTTCAAAAATCTTCTTCTCCAGACTCAGAAGTACTACATTCAATTTCAGTGCATAAAAAGAAAGATCATCAGGGGCTTTATTTAAATTGTAAATTTCAGGACCCCCAAGCTATCCGATCTCCCTTGGGGAGAGGGTAAAGTTTACAATAGTTTATATAGGAAATAACACTTTTGGGTATATTTTGACAGCTTTCTGTAGGAAACTATTTTTACTTGGTGAGAATTATCCTTGGAGGAAGATGGTTTCAAATTGTAAAATTGGGATTCCTACTCAAACCCTTGGGACCAGGGTGGGGCCCCATAGGGAAAATAAATCAATATTTCAAAAATCTTGTTCTCCAGACTCAGAGGTACTACAGTCATTTTCTCTGCATGAAAAGAAAGATCATCATGGGCTTTATTTAAATTGTAAATTTCAGGACCCCCGAGCTATCCGTTCTTCCTTTGGGAGGGGGTAAAGTTTACTATAGTTTATATAGGGAAATAACACTTTTGGGTATATTTTATCCATTTTCAGCAGAAAATTACTCAAACTTAGTCAGAAACATCTTTGGTGAATGAGGGTATTACATTGTAAAATTAGGATTCCTGCCCTATCCCCAGGGGCTAGGGCGAGGCCCCAAAGGGAACATTTACCAATATTTTCAAATTCTTATCTTTCACTTAGTTTACATGCTGACTTCCACATCACATCTAAACAATAAAATAAAGCTACCAGTACCTATGATATAACTCAGGTGACCGCTAAGGCCCTTGGGCCTCTTGTTGTTGAATTATAATACATCCCCATTACCAACAGTATATAGGGTATTTGAAGTCACAAGTTTGAGATATCAGAAAAGATATATTCATTAGAGAGTGGCAGTGCCTAGTATCATCCTGAGGACATCATTGTGGCCGGTGGCACAGCTGAGGGTGTCAGCAATATCGGAAGGGTAAATCTAGGTTCTGTAATCCTCTAATGAATTTAGTGTTTATTCTTTTTGCTAGAAGTATGAACATCAGTTTCAAGAAAGAAAATGAATAAACATTTCAAATTTTAATGAATTTTTGACTTATAAAAGTTGCAATGGAAAAGCATGGTGTCTGAAACCAACTGTATTCTCATCTTGTTTGCACAGTCCACATATTGCACTGCCACCCTCATTGTCACCTGTTGCTAGGATGTTGTTAAGCACTGTTCGTTTGACTCATTATTAGATGAATTGTGATGGTGAAATATGAACAGTCTGTCAGAGCCAATCAGATTACAGGATATATATATGTGAAGTATAATATATATAACTGTGTTTGATATGGAATTGGTTTACTTGTCCCTGTACAGGTTTGCCAACTTCAATCCGCCACCACTTGACCTGATGACAGCCTGTATCCAGTGTCTGACTAGTGTAGCCAAAAAACACCCAACCAAGGTAAGACACAAGAGGATCTACGTTCAGCATTTTATAGATACATTGAATTATTTCTGACCGCAAAAAGCTGTAGTATTTGAAATTATACCTCTGAGTCTGATCTTTTTAATATACCTGTCTAGTCTATGCTCAAATTGTTCCCAATACCACTGGTGTTTGTTTTGATGTTACAATAAAGCCTCTATTTGATGTTTGGCTATAAAATATTTGGAGTAAGTATTTTTCAGTAGAAAAAATATCCAGCAAAACTGTCTGTCCTTCATTAGTATTATTAAAGGAACTTGTCATTAAAAACATACACCCATTAATTCTGCAAACTGTTTAACCAACAGATAATTGGATCTTAACGGTGATAAAATGTATAAAGATTTTAATTGAGACAAATCATTTAAGTCTCATAGACTTAAAAGTACTGAAATGAATGAATGACAAAAGCTACCGTCATGAGATATCCTTTATTGTACCCATCTGTCACAGGTATGGCACAACATGAAACAGACGGGAATGGTGCCGTACCTCACAGAGAATGTGGACAACTTAGCAGAGGTTCTCAGGTATCTAACACACACCTTAGGGTTCACGTAAAACCTCAATAAAATATCTATCATTATTTTTCTTACCTCATTTACTGCCAGCCTATTTAAAGGCACCCTTTCGCCATGTATGGAAGAGGCCGTTTTAGACTCTGAAGCCGATAATTACAGCAATGTTACACATAATTCCACAAGTTACACATAGTAAAGAAATATTTACTTATGCTTACTCAACATTAAATATCTTTTACCTCTGATTTTCTGGACAACATTATATTCTGTGCTGCAGTGGCCAGGGACTGAGTGTAGGATTGTATGGAGCTATCCTGGCAGGGTATGAGTGTAACCAAGGCCGATATTCTGTGACCGTGGCATTCCTCGACTTCATCAGCTGCTTTATAAAGGTCAGACTTGTAAAGTCATCTTATCAGCATGGCATTTGGACAAACTTGGTATTCTAGTTGATGAGGTTATTATCTTAGACATTCAGGTTTTTTTTTACGCGGGGTGCAACTTTTACATTTTTATGGCAATGTTAAAGCCATAGTACTGCCTGATAATAGTAAGTAGGAAATCCTCCAAAAACACATCAGTTAACATGTATGAATGGTGTAGTGAATTACACATTTCCAAATTTTGCTTGAAATATCCTCATACTACAAAATTTATTCATTTCAATGTGAGCTGAAGTATAATTTTGATAAATTTAAATGAAAAATACTCGTTCATATTTTTTTCTGCGGGTGAGGGTTAGATATGACTTGAGATAACAACAAGTTCATAATTCTACTGTTTGCTTTATTTACCAGCCATTTTTTGCGGAGGAGAGGGAGAACGACCTGATGGCCCCCATTCTTTATTTCCTGCGTGAAGTGTTTCCTGTGTTCCAAAAATGGCGCTATTACAGCTCAGCCAAGAGAGAGACCATTGGTAAGATGTGTTTCTTACATATTCAATATTCAGGTCAGTGTGTGGGTATTGATTGTCATTGGTACAAATCTATGGTGATATGATTGTAAATTTATAAAAATAAATATTGTTACTTTATTCTGTTAACTTTAAGGAAGTTTATCTGTAAGTGTGCTCTTCTGTGTGAGGTAACTTGTATCAAAAAATATCCCAGGAAAGAAATCCAACACTCCTAATGTAGAACAATGGGATAACAAAATAACCATATAAATACTTCATAATGATAATGTTTTGTACTTTTCAGGACAAAAGTGCCTAGACATATTCCACAAAATTCTGACATTTTTGACAGGAAACAGGAAAAAGAAGTCAAATAGGTAGGAACAGTTTTCCTTGATATTACACCGAGTCATTATGTGAAGTCAATGATTTATTGGCCCACTTTACCTATTGTGTGGCTGAATCATTGTTGGTAGTGTTTTAAAAGTGAGAAATTCAAGTTTTAAATTTAATGGTTTTCTAACAGTTGTAGTTCTAATTTTTTTTTTCTCCAACAATTTCCTGATTCTCTGGAAGTGTAATTTTGTGTTTGCAGACCTCACCTACAGGAAGTGTGTGTATACAGTTTGTTGTTCACTGAGGCAGGCCGCTCACTGCTAGACCTCATCGCCATGGGAGCTGACACCATAGAAATGGCACTCATACAGCAGGGCAGGTAAATACTGGCTTTGTAGACATTTGATCTTTGTGTAAAAAGTCTTTTTAAGTTCATGGTCATTTTTGTTTACCTTAATACCAATTCCATCAACCTATCAAGCTATAATAAATTTTCTGTTTTCCTAAATACCTGTCCATAATTTTATCAAAATTGTTATGCTAAACCTCTTGCTTACTCATGATGTGTGTACATATTTGTATTGGTTTGTTATAGTTTTGTGTACATATTTGTATTGGTTTGTTATAGTTTTGTGGAAGCTGGTACAGGAGTCGAGATGATACAGTTAGTACAGATGTCCTTCTCGGTCCTCAATCGTCTGCTGCTGCTCAAGTCTCCAGACCAGCCACTGTCACCAGTGGAGAGCGCGCTGTCATCTCAGCCCGCGGGGAGACAAACTCAACATATTGTGGCAACCATAGCTGGCTATATCTACCACAAACATAACCCACGACTGCCAGCTCTCGCCTGCCTCCTCCTCAAACGCCTAGCTCTGGTAGGGTGTAGGTTAGACCCTGTATATAAAGACCAGTCCACCTGTCTATTAGTATGGCCTCTGAGTACAGTTGGTCTGCTATACTGTTTTATGGTAGAACCTGTTTTTGCCAACTGTCAATATTTAGTTTTCATTAGTATGCATTGATATTGCTGTTATGTCATTTTAATGATGCAGAGCTATATATACTTTATTGACTGAATACATCATCCTGAAATGAAAATAACGATGCCAAAGAAATATTTGGATTTTTTAAGCATTTGTAAATCTGACTGTCTCATCTGTAAACTTTCAGATGTTTTGCTTTGATCTAACATGTGACTTGGTGTCGATTAATGCTGCTGCTATAAAGAATGAGTAGTTCTGTTCAGAACATTTAAGAGAAATATATTAATTAAACTAACCCCATTATATGTACTTGTCCAGGTGTCTCGGATGTCCATCTTGGCGTGTCTGGGAGGAGATGCAGAGACCATCAGAGACATGTATCTCTCACGTTTATACGCTGTCACAGAGGTAATCTTGTGCTTCTATAAGTATCTAGACATTCAAAGATTAAAGAAAAAAGAGGAGAGTGGTTCTGAATAGTTTCTAATGAATTCTTTCTTGGAGAGCCTGAGAACCTCAACTGTTGATCGAACACTTTCAGTTTGCAATTGATAATTATTGTACTTTTGTGACCTCTAGTAGAACCTGTTTGCTTGTCATTTGAATCTTTTACATCTTGTATGCATTTGATGCACTGTTCTGACCTCTGTAAAGGACCTGCGCCTGAAGGTTGTCATCCTGGAGCTGTTGTCTGTGTGTGTGGAGGCACAGCCAGGACTCATAGAAATCTTCCTCAATGTCCAGCCGGCCGAGACAGCCTCAGGCACAGATGCTTCTGCCACACGTGCCAGCAAGAAGGTATGGCATTTAAGTCATCACTGGGAATAATTCAAATAAATATTTCCATTTATACAGCTAGCTTTCTCCTCAGTCTCTTTAACTTCTACCAAGAGAAATATTCCGCTGAGTTCATCGGGAGGTTTTGCGCAATGAATATTTTAAGTCAGAAAAATCATTTTATGATGTTGCTGTGTGACGTCATTTCAACAATTTGAAGAAATCTGAGTTCGACTATTGTATTGAAGAATTAAAAAACCTAGCTGTTCTGTTGTAGGATCTGTCCCTGGGTAAAACTAGTTGTCTCCAGACAGTACTAGATCTGATGGATGCTAAGAAGCAGGGAGAGTACATGTGTCCCCCAGACTTGCTGTGTGCCTGCATGGACTTTATACACGCCCTGTGGGCGGGGCTAAGGGACACAGCAATGTCTGTACTCAGGGCAAGGTAAGCTATACAGGAAGCTGGGAGGTGGGGATAAGGGACATATCAATGTCTGTGCAAGTAGGATGCATAGGAAGCCCTAGGGGCTGACAAATCAACACTGCATAAGGTATTTTTTCTTATTAAAAAAAAAGTTAACATAGCATAAATTGAAATAGTTAGTTGGAAAGAAGGTTGCTGGATTAAAGTGATCAAATTGTTAAGCACAATTAAATAAACAGATTTACAACATAAAACTGCTTTTTACACAGGACCAACTTTTGGCTGAGTGTATGTGCCCCACTGACCAGAGATCTACCGTCACCTGGGGAGGAAGACGAGATGCAGGTAAACGTAACCTTATACTTTCAGATATCTCTTGTAAAAAAACTTTCAGAGATCCACTAAAATCATTTTCTATCAGAAGTGTAATTCTTCTCCTTTAAATTTTTGTCAGTAAATAGGTTTTCAGTCCTTCAGTCTGTTACATATTGCTTTCCGAACAAGAAGTCTAGCAATATTTATAGAATTTTGCCAAACTTTGGGTATGCTTGCATAACAGTTTAAAATCTGGCTAATTTTAAAAGATGAATGGAATCTGCTATAGCTCTTACTGTGAACAGTTCAATTCATTCTTGGATATGAGAGTAGAGACACACAATAACATTTGTGTATGTATCCTGCAATAAGCCCAGGGGGCCAACACATAATCTATGGCTGAAAGTAGGGGGTGGGCTTATTACAGGACAACACATAATTTCTGGCTGAAAGTAGGGGGTGGGCTTATTACAGGCCAACACATAATTTCTGACTGAAAGTAGGGGGTGGGCTTATTACAGGACAACACATAATCTATGGCTGAAAGTAGGGGTTGGGCTTATTACAGGACAACACATAATTTCTGGCTGAAAGTAGGGGGTGGGCTTATTACAGGACAACATATAATCAATGGCTGAAAGCAGGGGGTGGGCTTTTTACAGGACAACACATAATCTATGACTGAAGCAGGGGGAGGGCTTATTACAGGACAACACATAATTTATGGCTGAAAGTAGGGGTTGGGCTTATTACAGGACGACACATAATTTCTGACTGAAAGTAGGGGGTGGGCTGATTACAGGACAACACATAATCTCTGACTGAAAGTAAGGCGGTGGGCTTATTACAGGTCAGCACATAATCTATGACTGAAAGCAGGGGGTGGGCTTATTACAGGACAACACATAATCTCTGACTGAAAGTAAGGCGGTGGGCTTATTACAGGACAGCACATAATCTATGACTGAAAGCAGGGGGTGGGCTTATTACAGACCAACACATAATCTCTGACTGAAAGAAGGGGGTGGGCTTATTATAGGACAACACTTAATCTATGACTTAAAACAGGGGGTGGGCTTATTACAGGACAACACATAATCTCTGACTGAAAGTAAGGGGTTGGGCTTATTACAGGACAACACATAATCTATGACTGAAAGCAAGGGGTGGGCTTATTACAGGACAACACATAATCTTTGACTGAAAACAGGGGGTGGGCTTTTTACAGGACAACACATAATCTAGGACTGAAAGCAGGGGGTGGGCTCATTACAGGACAACACTTAATCTATGATTGAAAGCAGGGGGTGGGCTTATAACAGGACAACTCTTAATCTAGGACTGAAAGCAGGGGGTGGGCTTATAACAGGACAACTCTTAATCTAGGACTGAAAGCAGGGGGTGGGCTTATTACAGGAGAATGAAAAAGCTTTTGTTGGCCTTTCTTACTAAGAGCAATATATATTGGTGGACTTACTACCAAGCATGGGCTTATTGCCGGATAAGAACGTTATAGCAATATTCCTAATTATAATTCTGTCTATTAACTGATTTGGAATGTTGGATTGCCCTTTGTTTTGTTCGTAATAAAGTTGTTCATGTCAGTTCAAGTTGAAAAATATCTTGTTTATGCTACTCCATACACACACATACACACCCCCCCCCCCCCCCCCCCCCCCTCCCCNTGTAAAGAGTACAGTAAACGGGACTTCAGCAGCATCAAGTATGACCATTTTGTCAAATGTGACACTGTGTCTGGTAAAGTACGGTCACTGACAGTCTGGGGACACAAACCATGTCAGATATTGCAGCATGTCTTTCAAGGCTGGTATTTATAAACATGATTAATTTATTTTATTTGTAGATCGCCGTGCCCTATCAGGTGCGAACCATTGCATTTGTGCTGAGAATCCTGTCAGAAGAGATATACACAGTCACCAGGTAGGAAGACACAAAGTTAACAAAATTTTGTATACTGGTACTGTCATTAGTTAGCAGAAGTAGCCTGAATTTAATAAAATTGTATATTCAGCAACCACCCAAGGGAAACACAACTTACACAACCGACTACATATAATCAAACGACTCCTTATCCTAATTCAGACAACTGTTAACAGACCACTTCCCCAAGCGCACATTTACACATGTGTTTGAGAAGAATTGTCATTTCACTCAGAACAAACGATCGATGGAAACTTGTTTGAAGTTCTCAACTTACATGACTGTGTTTTCGGTAATTACCGTGATTTAAGCTAACTTGTTAAGAAAGATCTTGTTGTTGAAATGATAGCGGTTCCTGTGTTGGTCCAACAGGTGGGTTCATGTGTATTATTCCTTTATTTTTTAACAAATTGACCTAAATAACGCCGACAGCATGTTGCCGAAAAACGGACCTTTATTAATTTCGTTAGTACTTTGCTAGCATAAACATGTTTAGTGCGCAGTTGCGCTGATATTTAATGTTAATTTCGCACGAGAGTGCTGTCGCGAACATCTCTAATTAGCAGACCCGATTTCAAGAATGAAAACCTGCCAGTGTACTTCATCCAATCAAATGGAGGATATCGTAGGGTTAAAGGTAACATTGCCTAGCACGACAAAATGGTTCTGCTTAACTGCGATAAGTATTAGTCCGTATTTCACTGCTAAATCAACAATATCGACAGTTAGAAAAATGACTTTTTATTTGTTTCTGCACATCAATGAATTTATTATAAGTTTGAAAATTGATTTTGTTCACTGAACTTGGTAAAAAGATTGTGAAGTAGTCCTTGTCAAATGTGGTGACGGTGATGCAAATTTGGAGTTACACAACTATTTCAACGACCGTTTGGTATATTTTCGTCAAACATGGTCGCTAAAATGTATCAAATCTGGTCCTTTACCATAAAGTCAGTATTGGGTGGTCGCTGGTCGCGTTAGACAGATGGCGGCTTAATACAGATAAGTTACATAGTAAAAAAAGTCAGGAGGAATGAAAAGTGGTCGCATAAAACAGATGGTTGCTTGAGCAGATTCGACAGTACTGTCACTAGCTGAAAGGCAGACACACACAAACATATATACATGGTACTTAGATAGACAGACACAAAGTTTGCAAAAAGAGGTTTTCCTGGTTGACATTTGAATTGTTTTTAACAATTATTTATTGAAGGATTGAAATGCTGGAATACTGGTATGAAATTAATTTCTTCCAAATGTACAATCGATAAAACATTGGCAATATCTGTCAAAGTTTGAATTTGATATCACAACATGACTGGTCCCTGATTATTACAATAGTATGATGGAAGGACTGGACAGTTTCCAATCTGAAAACAGACACGTGTATCTAACTCTTTCTGTCAGGCTTTATGACAGCATCTTGAGCTGGTAGGATTTACAATTAAACTGGAAAGATTGTTGAATATCACAAGTATTTATGGTTTTGTCAATGTCACCTCTGTTGTCAATGGTATTTGATTCCAGTGGCTTTCAATGGATTTTTTTTGTAGTGCAAAACTAGACAGCAAGCTGAAGAAAGTTCTGGCCGACGTCAGTGATGCAAACCGCTGGAAGTACTGGTCTGGTGTAAGTATTTTATTATAACAAGGAAAACAAATTAATGGCAGAAAAAAAACTCGCATTTCGATATTTATAAAATAGTTGAAAACTTCCTAAAAATTTGTAATTATAGCTTTTAACTGTTTTCATTTTGTTATCATTTCAAGATGTTCTGAAAGATACACATTTACACAAAAATATGGCAAGCTTATTTAACGCTTTAGTTCTTTAAACTTTGAGCTGTTTTGATGCAATACTGTCAGAAAAGTTTCACTTTGGATTGAGAATAAAATATCATGTTTATCTGCAATGTGTACAGGATATTTGTGTGTGTTCGTCTGTAGTATGTACGGGACTGTGTGGTTAGCCAGGCTGAGAGGACCGAACCAGAATTACCAGGAGACAACCTAGCTGATCACCCCACTCTACAACTCCTCATGGCCTGGAAAAACTTCGTCATCACCATCACCAAACTCAAGGTTCATTATAACATAACTGTTATCGATCACTTATATCATAACCATGAACTTGAGATAAATTACGTCCTCAGCATCTTAATGATTTTATTAGCATGAATTAAAATGAATTTACTGAGAACAATACAGCGAGGGAAACAAATTTGCCTAACTCAATATTTAGATATTTTGTATTTAAACAAACCTATTTTTAATAGGAATATAAAAATCCTGTTTGCCTATTTAAAGTTTGAATTTACTTGTTAGGTTGATGAATTGAAAGTGAATAACAGCCTAAAAGAGGTGATCATGGTAGACTTGATGGAGGGTGTACAGGCGTTGGTAAGTTGTTGTGTTGTCAGTCCTGTTACTACAGGCGTTGGTAAGTTGTTGTGTTAATGTCCCTGTTATCAACAGAAATTGACCCAGCTCACAGATGATCTATTAAGTCTAGTTTAATCTTTAATCCTGTGTACCAAATCAATGCAGGACTATGTCCAAACCTAAGCAATGATCTTTTCTTGGAAAAGAGGTTTGAATTTGATAATATTTAAACCTTATTATACAACACTTATATCCACTTCAGTGTTATATTAATGAATTATAAAGATCATGTTGTACTAAATAAAGTCACCACTACAACAAATAATGACCAAAGATGGAGCATGATAAATGTCACGTCTCAATAAAACATACGTTTTCTGTTTTCTTGGCTAAGGTAACTGTGGTACATCACCTGTATCTGGTTTCTTTATTGTCAGGTGTCGGGCGATTTATCGGTACTGAACATCAAATTGGCTCAAATAGCTAGTGCTTTCCTCTTCAACCTCATCAAACAATGGACCAGGTAAGTCGTAAATATGAACAGGTATTTCAGTACTAGATACTTCAGTAGACAGCCACAATGAACGTCCTCCAGTGCTGAAACTATCTGGTACTTTAGATAACTGATCACAACTTTATTAATCTGTTTTTAGTTCAAATTTCAAATTTTCGTTGACCTCAGATATTATGCCTGCTCCAGGTTATTTGTTTGTTTAGAGTTTTGTGAAAATGCTATGCAAGTATTAACCCTCAAGGTTGTTGAAAAATAAATCTGTAGAAAGAAAAATCTCATCACAAAAAGTCTGAATAAATCATAGTACTGTATGCATGTATCATGTGCACTCGTGTATAATGCGCAGGTAGCTTATGAATTTCTTTGTTGCAGCTCTCTGAGTAACCAGACAAGGATGATTAAAGAGTTACAGGCAGCTGTAGTACATACCCTGTCTAACAGTAAGACACTGATCCCCCCAATACAGGTGGGACTGCTGGGAAGTGTCACGGCCATTATACAACATTCACGACTCAACTCAGTCACAGGTATGTCTCACTACCATCACACAACATTCACTACTCAACTCAGTCACACGTACGTCTCACCACCATCACACAGCATTCACTACTCAACTCAGTCACAGATACGTCTAACCACCACCACACAGCATCACTACTCAACTCAGTCACAGGTACGTCTCAACACCATCACACAACATTCACGACTCAACTCAGTCACAGGTACGTCTCACCACCATCACACAACATTTACTACTCAACTCAGTCACAGGTAGGTCTCACCACCATAACACAACATTCACGACTCAACTCCCTCACATTTACGTCTCACCACCATCACATAATATTTACGACTCAACTCAGTCACAGGTACGTCTCACTACCATCACACAACATTCCCGACTCAACTCAGTCACAGGTACGTCTCACCACCACCACACAGCATTCACTACTCAACTCAGTCACAGGTACGTCTCCCCACCATCACACAGCATTCACTACTCAACTCAGTCACAGATACGCCTCACCACCACCACACAGCATCACTACTCAACTCAGTCACAGGTACGTCTCAACACCATCACACAACATTCACGACTCAACTCAGTCACAAATACGTCTCACCACCACCACACAGAATTCACTACTCAACTCAGTCACAGGTATGTCTCACCACCATCATACAACATCCACGACTCAACTCAGTAACAGGTATGTCTCACCACCATCATACAACATTTACGACTCAACTCAATTACAGGTATGTCTCACCACCATCACATAACATTCACGACTCAACTCAGTCATAGGTACGTCTCACCACCATCACACAACATTTACTACTCAACTCAGTCACAGGTAGGTCTCACCACCATAACACAACATTCACGTCTCAACTCCGTCACATTTACGTCTCACCACCATCACATAATATTTACGACTCAACTCAGTCACAGGTATGTCTCACCACCATCACATAATATTTACGACTCAACTCAGTCACAGGTATGTCTCACTAGCATCACACAACATTCACTACTCAACTCAGTCACAGGTATATAACACCACCATCACATAATATTTACGACTCAACTCAGTCACAGGTATGTCTCACTACCGTCACACAACATTCACTACTCAACTCAGTCACAGGTACGTCTCACCACCATCACACAGCATTCACTACTCAACTCAGTCACAGATACGTCTCACCACCACCACACAGCATTCACTACTCAACTCAGTCACAGGTATGTCTCACCACCATCACACAACACACTCGATTGTATGAACATGATTTCTGCTGATATAAGGTTATGCATCGTATAATAAGTTATTCTTGCATATTGCAAATTTCACGTTATTGTTCAAAATCCAAGTTTGGCTATAAAAGTGTATGTGTTTCAGCTTAAATGTTTTCATTCTTAGTAATATTAACAGATGCATACTTTGTGATATCATTATTTTACCAATAAGGGGAAACATAGATTTGCACAGAAAAACATGCCAAAAATAAACTGGAAACATGCTACACTAACCTGAATTATTTTACCCTGCATGCCAGCAGCACCTTACTAACCTCTGTTGGTTGTGTTATAGATATGAGTCCTGACAAGTACCTATCAGTTGTCCTCCCTACCACATGTGCAGTCTTACTACAGAGCACCCGTCAGCTCCCTTCGCCCCGAGATCTTGTTGATAAAAAGGATTCACAAGGAGAATTGGCAGCTGGAAACATAAGACTTAAGGTTAGCCTGTTGTTTAATTGTGGATTATAGTATACAATTGTCTTTCTCGTGATTAGTTTGAAATATAGGATACAAGTTGACACTCATTGGTTAATGTTTGGTGTAACAGATGCAGATTGTGACCTGCTGTCTGTTAGAGGAGCTCATCCTACAGTGTGACAGGAGTGAAATGTGGCTACCCGTTCTACAGGAGCACTTCATCCTCCCTACACTAATGGCCTCCATGGAAGTTTTCATCAAGGTCAGTATACCACACACAGAATGTCCTCCAAATTACTGTTTACAGGGAAATTTTCACTGCAGTTCAATATTCGCCTTTTTGTCGCCCTCCTTAATGAAGGCTAATTTATTGTTACAGCTAATATAACTTAACAGCATAATATACATATTAGTTAAATGTGAAGGGAGTAATTATTTAACACTGGCCAACATTGGTTTCATGGGTGAAAGGCGAAAGTTTGACTGGACGGAAATTTCCCGGTATACAGTAATTCTTCATTAAGGTTATATTGTATGTTAAGTTCTGCTAGTGACTTTTGATACATTACCACTGACCGTTTACTGTACTATATTTATGTATTGCAGGGTAAACAGGCTGTACATTATGTCCAGACAGTGTTTCTGTTGCTCTTGACCATTGCCAAATATGACAAGGTGAGTGATATAGTGACCAGTGGTCATCTTTCATTTCTTTCCTCTAAGGTATCATTCTAATGTCCTGTCTGTATCTTGTCATAAAAAAACGATCCCTGTTGAATTTTGTCATCAATTCTGCCCATACCCTGATGTTGTTCAAAATTGACAAACATTTTACAGCAGTTCTATCTCTATAAAAATCAATTTCTTTATTATATTATTTCCAGTGTAGGCCAAATGGACCCCGGCTGAAAACTATTTCAATTTTAATGGCCTCATTCTGTCTCTTTCAAGAAGCCAATTTGACTTGTTGTTAACTTGGTCAAAGTAAACCTCCCTGTAGGACACTGGCCGTCACTTTTGGTTGTGCGATATTATCCCCTATCTAGCAGCCAATTTGACTTCAGTATGATCTTTTCATATTTTGTATAATTCCTGCAGAGAGCATTTAGTACACAACACATGTAAATGTGGGCTATGTATAAAGATATATCACTTTTCTTTATTTAGGGCCTTTGTAATTAGATGTGAAGTATTGTTTGGCATACATCAACAGAATATTTAGACTTGTAAAGATAACGTGATATATTTTGTAGGGGGCAGAGGCTTTAACAATGAGTGGTGTCACACAGCATACCTGTCTGTCCATGATATCACTTTACCAAGACAGTGACCTCTTCTCTAAGCCAGGAGCTCCTGCCAGGGTAGGTAACTCAGAAAACTCACTCTTTCCTGATTGACACTGTTAATTTGCCTAATAACCAGGGACAAAGCCTTCCAGATATCCAGAATGACTACAGATCTATTTACTCTACTTGTTTAAAAGTTAAGATATAAAGTTTGGCAGGAATAAGTTCCATCAAGATATCTTTAATGGTTTGTTATTTACACACAACATTACATTGAAGTTCTCAGTGACCTACCATCTGTGGGTGATGTAGGTATAAGTTTCATCAAGATATCTAGAATGGTTTGTAATTTACACACAACATTACATTTCAGTTAGTGTAAATCATTGTAAAGGCTCCAGAAAACGACGTCAGACTACAAAGTCTGTTCCTAGTTCATGAACAAAATATTTTAGTTCAACTTGTCAAACCAAACTGAAAGTTACCCAAGTTTTTCCTGACATACCTGTTTGTAAATTGGACTGTCCTGGTCTGTCATTAAGGTAAATCCTTAGTAAAAACCTGACTAAACTTGGACACAAAGAAGAACAGTTACATGTCAGATTGTCAGTTATATTAAAAAAAGAAGTTTGTATGTGTACAGAATTTGATAGGATCTTCCTGTTTTTATAGAAGGATGTGACTGAGCTTCAGCAGAATTCCAGAGCAAGCTGGCATGGAATATACTGTATCTGTGTGGACCTGTATGCTACCGTGCTGTCTGCCCTCAAGTACTCCTTCCTCGAGGATGCCCTCCACTTTGTGGGTGCCCACCAGGATAGGATGCAGCAGGCAAGTCTTTCTGTGTGACAATCTTGGATGGTACAGGTGTAATTGTATACTGTGTATTTTTAGGTCACCTGAGCTTTAGCTCAAGTGACCTATTGCTATCCGTTTTCGTCCGTCGTCGTCCGTCGTCCGTCGTCCGTTAACATTTTACATTTCAAACTTAAAGTCAAGTTCTGCTGGGCCGATTGAACTGAAAGTTGGTAGGAATGATCGCCTCATGGTCCTGACAAAGTGTTGTTATTTTTCGGGTCGATCAGAAATCCAATATGGCCGCCACGGCCGCCATTTTGAAAACCTATTTCAAACTTAAAGTCAAGTTCTGCTGGGCCGATTGAACTGAAAGTTTGTAGGAATGATCGACTCATGGTCCTGACAAAGTGTTGTTATTTTTCGGGTCGATCAGAAATCCAATATGGCCGCCACGGCCGCCATTTTGAAAAACTATTTCAAACTTAAAGTCAAGTTCTGCTAGGCCGATTGAACTGAAACTTTGTAGGAATGATTGACTCATGGTCCTGACAAAGTGTTGTTATTTTTCGGGTCGATCAGAAATCCAATATGGCCACCACGGCTGCCATTTTGATAAACTATTTCAAACTTAAAGTAAAGTTCTACTTGGCCGATTGAACTGAAACTTTGTAGGAATGATCGACTCATGGTCCTGACAAAGTGTTGTTATTTTTCGGGTCAATCAGAAATACAATTTGGCTGCCATGGCCGCTATTTTGCTACTAAATTCTAATAGGCCGATCTCACTTAAAATTGGTCTAGGAATGATCAGCTCATGGTCCTGACAAAGTTAAGTTAACATTATACTATTTTTTACTCAAATTGGTACATATTTCAACAAACAAAAAAAATTACTGTAGACTCAGGTGACCGTTAAGGCCCATGGGCCTCTTGTTTAAAATCAATAGTGGTCGAAATTCCTGAAGAGTGTAACATGTTCCATTTGCTGTACTCTTGTGAAGATTTAAGTAAATTGAATGCTGTGTGCTCTATGTTCAGTGTTTGGAGCTGTCACGGATCACGTTGACCCCTGGAGCTCTGTATGAGGCGGAAAAGACATGTGACTTCATCCACAAACTGTCACACTTTGCACGGGAATGGAGGCTGCATTTGCCGGACTCGCTCATCAAACTGCAGGTAATAGTCTATCTCCTGCACGACCTTAATCATGTTGATATTTCTGTCCTTCTTCATTGAATCGGTATACAAGTAAATAGCTTACAGAAATATATGAAATATTATTGCTGGAGTTAGTGTGTGGCAACAGTTCCATAATTAAGTTTACTTGACCAAACAATCAATGCACCTTACTACCTTGCATAATTACGACAAACACTCAGATATTTTTTTCTGCCCTTTGCCTGAGATAATGAAGTTTAATATTAACAGAATTATGGTAGTTCTGTGCTGTTTAACTATCTGTAATATCTATTAGAGATGACACTTTTATAACTTCTCCTTTAAAACAGATTATAAATGAAAATGAATTACAGCAGATGTTCTAAATAAGTTGTCTTAACTAGAACTTAAAAACATTTAAGCTATGCTGAGTATTTACTGTAATAATATAATTCTTTCTTTTCTTATTGACAGACTAGCATGATTTACATGAGCCAATCGTTTATTGCATTCCTTATGCGACCCAGATATCTACAGCATATACTAGAGGTAAGATATCTACAGCATATACTAGATATACTACAGGTAAGATATCTACAGCATATACTACAGGTAGGTCATCATTGTAATAGTTATACAATAAATATCATAAATCATTAATAGGAGTTTGATCGGCTGAAGCCATTCTATTAAAAAGTCATTAGCCTTACTTTTGTTATGCAATATTGAGACCAATATTATGATATTGCACAATTTAAAGGAATATAATATACATGTATATATGTATTTTTATCTGTAGTTTGAGGTATTTTACCAATTTTAGCAACACAGTGGTCAGAAAGGTCAAACAAGAGAGCGGACATCTACCTCCCCTAAACAACCACGTCTCCAGGCTCAGTCCTCTATGGAGGATATTGATGCCCCATCATCTCAACTCCTACATACACAGCACAGGTAAGGGGCTCATGTAACAAAGATAACTAGGTCATACTCCATAGGTAACTAGAAATATAGGTCATAAAGTACAAATAACTAGTTCATACAGCAAGTATTATCATATCTAGGTCATATTTCACAGGTAATACTACACATGTGTGTACAGTCTCTATCAATAGGGAAAACATCTCGAAATAGAGTGACAAATAAAGTTAATTATCTTGTTACATCTTTGTACAAGTAAAGAATACAAACTGCTCACTCAGTCATAGCTTGACAAAAGGGACCAGTCCGTCTTGAAACGTTGCGACACATTTAACACATCCATTGTTTGTGTGTAAAGTAAAAATATTGATGCGTACAAATTTCCAAACTGGTGAATCTTATTTATTTAATATATATCTAGAACAGCTAAGGATACTAGATTCATGCAGCTAAGGTAAGCAGATTCACCACAGTCAAGGAATGTAGATTTACCACAGTTAAGGAATGTAGGTTTACCACAGTTCAGGAAAATATAATGACTAGCTAAGGATAGTTGATTACAGACTATAGTAACTTCAAATGTATACTGAATAATGCATGATGAGTCTTCTTATAATGGCTTATCTAATTAATATTCATTTTTAATATATATATATTTTTCTTTAACTTCCCTGAACAGGATGCTGACTATTCTTGGAATGAGTTTCTCATCTTTACGACAGTTCACTCCAGACCTGCTGGAGATTTTATATGAACAGGTATTGTTAACTTGTTTACATGTTGAGGTGAACAAAACTCTGGAAACTATTTATTAGTTTCAAGTTTACTTAATATCCAAACACCATGCTTTTCCAAGGTTTAGATTTCCTTATCATATCCTCAAAGTAAGAAAAGATTCTATAAGACATGGTTTTACATAGGTGAAACAGCATTGGTTGACAGTTCTTTGATTGGTTGATCAACATTTTTAAGGTGTTAAAAATATTGAGTGTCATTATGTAATGCAATGTCTAATTGCCAAGTGTGTGTTGCTTTTCACCACTGTCATTAAACTTCACTGAAACATTATCCATGCAAAGGCAAATAACCCTATTCATTTGAAGTTCAAAGGTCAAGCTCACTATGATTTGGAACTTCCTGACCACAACTCCTGTCAAAAGTGGGATGCAGGGGTATTGGCTAGCCAGAGTCATATAATTCTGGTTATTACAATTTTACCTCTGAACATTCACTGCTTGATGTTTTCAATATTAAAAAGGATAGCATTTAAATATGTATTTATTGGATCAATGTGTTTTATTGAATGGATATCCCATAATGTTATTCTTTTTGTTTGCAGAGTGTGGACTACAGCGAGTATGAGCCTTTCCTTGCTATGGGTTTCAGTGCTCCCTCTGTGGACCAGGACAGTACGCCCTCCTTTGGTACACTGACCACCTGTGTGCGCGATGTCTGTGTGAAATTCCTTACAAAGGTATGTGTCCTTATGCCTGGCAAATTAAGACGTAGCGCTACGACAGCAGCTCATTCAGTTATTACATTATCATCGCAAAATGTTTTACAAGTAAACACAAAGTATATACATGTACATATACCGGTATGTACTGCTGATCCGTAGCACACTCCTTGTATTTACCTTAATATAACAGCTGTTTTGGTTTCAATTGACAAAAAAGCTACAACAAAAGATCACATGCACATGTACCGGTATATATTGCCAAGAATTTATATTTGTTTGTTTGTTAAAATGTTGTGTAAGGGCATGCATATTTTGTTATGGAATGTTCATTACTCTGGAGTGGAAGTGTATATTTGGTGTGTCATGGATATAATTCATATTTAATGAATATGTTTTTTATATGCGAGCCTGTTATATAAGAGTTTTAATGCTACCTGGTACTTATGCTTTGCTGTTTGCTGTCAATCCATGTAAATACTGCAGGTGTTATTTTCTAATAGACAGCACAACAGTAATGATATCTCGCTGGAGTAACCATGTTGATTCGGTAAAATGTGGTATTAACAAACTAGTAAATGTGGTTATATTAATTTTGAATAATTTATAACTTTTCTGTAATGCTTTTAACTTGAGATGGTTGATTTTGATTTTTTCAATGGGTTTTGTGTGTTCAGTTAAATGTTCGATTGGCATGTTTGAGATAATGTAAATGTTGGACTTGATTTCCAGTTGGAGCCTAAGTCGGGCTCCTCCCCTCAGAGATCAACATCTCCAGTCAACAACATCAATCAGGTCATCTCCAAGTGAGTAGGCACCACAGTGTAGTACATCATAATTTAGCTTTATTTCTCTCACCTCGTAAAATTGACACTGACATTGCGAATGGTATAATATGGTAGTTTTTCAAGATTATGTACAAACTAACTGAGAAAGAAGTATGGTTTACTAAAAGTACTGTAATTATTTATGACTGCAAATATTTCTTTCTTGCAGAAGTCTAGTGCTCTATGTTATGGAGAACGCCCTGTACATTATCATGTCCCAGGCTACACGATATCTACGTGACCCACACCTCGTCTCTACAGACAAACAGCTGCTGAAACGAGAACTAGGCACTGAAATGGTAAATTCTCGTCAGTTAAAAGTGGTTTTGAATATACCCGATATATTATATATATAAAATAACTCCAAAAAACTCCTTGTGAAGAAAATACTGGAGTGATTTAATTATTCACCTTTGGACACAAAGTTGAGAAACAATATGTTTTGTGATATGGACTTAGAGGCTTTCAGCCTGCGTCCATTATTTTTCAATTAAATTCAATTAAATACGTCTCAGTTGTATCAGAAGATTCATAATTAAAATTTGTATTGTCAATATTTATAACTATCAAAATTTTAAAAAACATCTAAAATTAGGAATTTAGATATGAAATTTAATTTTAATAGGACAGAAAGCTTATAAATTGATCCCGACCTTGATCTTCATTGCCTGATATTAATATTAGTTGAGTATACAAAATATGCGTCTGTTTAAATAAAATCTTTTCTTTACAGAATTACTTTCTGAAGGAACTGGAGCGTTATCTGAGGAAAGGAACACCAGTGTCCCCCAATACCAGTTCCACAACTCTAAGCCCAAGGACAGCACATTCAGGGGGACCTCTCTTGGGACGTTCCATCTCACAGACATCATTTGCAATCAGTCAAGAGACAGAATTCTTCCGATTTGTGCGCGAGTATGTAACACAAGTGCTAAAATAATTTAACAGTTGTGATCCATGTTTTCTGATCCACTGCTCTGGGAAAACTATGTAATTTGTGTTCGTCAGAATGAAAGATGTTTCCCAAACTTAACACAGATCATCTCCTGCATTACTGATTGTCCAGAAGACAAAGATTCTAAAACTTGTCTTAATATTATAAACAATACAATACAATATTAAGATTCAGAGGCTGGAACATTTCTACCTTTATTGTGGTTTCTTTGGCTCGGACAAGAATGTGGGTCTCAGCATTAGTGCTCTGTTATAATATTTGTAATTGAATCGATTATGGCTCAAATGGTTTGAAGTGAGAGCTGTCTGTAATGTTAGTATGCAAGAGAATGAGTGTACATCCTTATGTACAGTGAAACCTCACTAATCTGGAATATAAAATCTTTCAAATTTCCTGGTCACTGATTGGACCATTACCGTACCCCTCTGCTTAGCCAGTTTTTAGCTCACCTGGTCCAAAGGACCATGGTGAGCTTATGCCATACCGCAGCGTCTGTCGTCCGTCAACTTTTCCTTTAAAACGCTACTAGTCATGAACGACTGAGCACAGTTTGACCAAATTTGGTCAGAAGCTCTCTTGGGGGTAGGGGAACAAATTTTGTATAAATGGTGGGTCTGACCCCCCTGGGGGCTGAGGGGTGGGGCCCAATAGGGGAAATACAGCAAATTCTTTAAAATCCTTCTTATTCTGTAGGAATGAAAGGATTTGGTCCATATTTGGTCTGAAGCATTCTTGGGTGAAGGGGAACCAATTTTGTATAAACCATGGGTGTGGCCCCCCAGGGGCCTTAGGGGCGGGGCCAAATAGGGGAAACATAGCCAATTATTCTTTAAAATCCTTCTTCGTCTGTAAGAATAAAAGGATTTGGTCCATAATTGGTGTGGAGCATCCTTGGATAAAGGGGAACCAATTTTGTATAAACCGTGGGTCTGGCCCCCCTGGGGGCTGAGGGGTGGGGCCCAATAGGGGAAATATAGCATATTCTTTAAAATCCTTCTTATTCTGTAGGAATGAAAGGATTTGTTCCATATTTGGTCAGAAGCATCCTTGGGTGAAGGGGAACCAATTTTGTATAAACTGTGGGTGTGGCCCCCCAGGGGCCTGAGGGGTGGGGCCCAATAGGGGAAACATAGCCAATTATTCTTTAAAATCCTTCTTCGTCTGTAAGAAAAAAAGGATTTGGTCCATAATTGGTGTGAAGCATCCTTGGATAAAGGGGAACCAATTTTGTATAAACCGTGGGTCTGAGGGGTGGGGCCCAATAGGGGAAATATAGCATATTCTTCAAAATCCTTCTTATTCTGTAGGAATGAAAGGATTTGGTCCATATTTGGTCTGAAGCATTTTTGGGTAAAGGGAAACCAATTTTGTATAAACTGTCGGTCTGGCCCCCCTGGGGGCTGAGGGGCGTGGGCCCAATAGGGGAAATATAGCAAATTCATTAAAATCCTTCTTCTTCTGTAGGAATGAAAGGATTTGTTCCATATTTGTTCTGAAGCATCCTTGGGTGAAGGTGAACCAATTTTGTATAAACCGTGGATCTGGCCCCCCAGGGGCCTGAGAGGCGGGGCCCAATAGGGGAAACATAGCAAATTATTCTTTAAAATTCTTCGTCTGTAGGAATGAAAGGATTTGGTCCATATTTGGTGTGGAGCATCCTTGGGTAAAGGAGAACCAATTTTGTATAAACTGTGGGTGGGACCTGAGGGGCGGGGCCCAATAGGGGAAATATAGGTAAACCTTTATAATCCTTCTTCTACCATAGGGATTAAGGGATATTATCCTAATTTAGTCTGGAGCATCCTTAGGCAAAAGGGGACTCAATTTTGTATAATTGGTGGGTATGACCCCCCCTTGGTTGCATACAGGTTGGGGTTTGTTTGAAGTTTGTTCTCACTATAACTCAAGTACTGGATGGATCTTTCTGAAATTTCATATGTACTTACAGCACCTACTTCATACCAATTATTTTAAACACATCAGGTGAGCGATACAGGCCCTCTGGGCCTCTTGTTGTTACATTCACATGAAGTACAAGAAATGTGTCAAATTGTACCTCTAAATAGAACAAACAGGAATCCCATTGTGATGTAACTAAGATGTCTAGTGACAGCATGGATTTCTGAATCAATCAATTTGATAAATTTTGAAACTTGTTTAATATATGTAGTATTCAGTTTGCACTTTGCGATTGTTAGGTATGCAACGTCACAGTAGATAATACCAGCCTTACTAGGTATGTAGCATATGCCCTTTATGAGAGGGGGAGGCAGACATTTGTGGACTTTTTATACAGGGAATATGATTTATCTGCCCTTAAAAGACAATCTTTACCTTCATATTTAGTGACAAATATCCTTCTTTTGGCAGTATTCACCTTATAAAATGCATAATGGTATAATGTCAGATCAGACAGATTTTAATACTCTGGTGTCAGATTAGGTAGGTTTCACTAAAGTAGATGTCTGTATGTATTAGAGATGCAAGGGTGTGAAAATGAATGTGTAAATCTTTGCAAGTTTTTATGAATGATGTGTTTGTTGTTTGTAAGATTGTACAAAAGTGCTGCCACTTGTCAGTACACAGTACATTAAACTTTTATGAAATGTTGTAGTTTGTAAAAAAAAATGTGATTGGATTCAATCCATATCTTTCATAGTGTTCTACAATATAATACTGTATAGAATCAGATGCGAGCTGTTTTTACCTATCTCTATAGATCCTACACTGGTACATATATAGCATATTTGATTTTAACGAGATAGGTAGAAGTGTTTGGTACATGCATCATTGTTTGAAGAACACTATCATACTGTCATTGATTGAAAATTAGTCTTACTAAAAGAGAATTTCTCATGTGCTGATAGAGCAAGTGATTACTTGCTTGGCAACGACATTATCAAGTGAAGCCTTTCCTCATCAGTGTCACAGTGAACTATTCATATCATAGCTCTGTTGTAATAAAATGAAGATGCATATTATTTTCTTCCTGATTTTTCCTTCATTTTCCTACCGAATGTTTAATGTGTACAGTGCCAATTGCAATATCACCTTTCAGATAACTGGTTGGGTCATCATCCATGCATGCAGGCAACTTAATGTAGGTTGTCATGATCAAAATGCTGCAATCACAGGAATACTTCACAATTGGTGTGTAGTTCAGAAAGAAACACTATTGAGTATTCAGATACCTACATATAGGTGAAAAGATATTGTCATTGTAAAGTATTTAACTCATTCACCCCTGAAATTTCATAATGAACTATTCCAACCTTTGAATTGGAAGAGTGCAAATGTGTCTTCAGGGGTGAATGAGTTAAATACCTATAAATAGAACCAAAGATAATGTGACTATTAAGCATTCAAATACCAGCAAATTGAGGTATTTCACTATCAAACATTAGAATACTTGCAACTAGTACTGAAACACTGCTACTGCTACTGTGGAGTATCCAAGTACCCGCAATAGAAATTCTGTCGTCGTCATTGAGTATACATTCCAATACCTACAATAAGGACTAAGATACTGCTACGATCATATTTTTAAATACCTAAAAATAGGACCAACGATACTGGTATATCCAATATTAAAATATATGCAAATAAGATTTAGATGCAGCAATTGATTAACAGTTCATTGGGTGAAAAAAGACAAAGGAAATTTGTATTATGAAATATTGGATTTATTTTCATAAAATATGATTTTGACAGTTGTGACTTTGCATGCACTCTCATACACTCTTTATCATAAGTTAGTTATGTATTAAAGCAAATGTCCAATGAAGGCAATTCCATCTTTCATTTTATAAATAAAAGCATTCAGATTATGATTGAGAAAATCCATAAGACTGCAGTATTTAACCAAAGAATATGAAGGTTTAGGAAGACATGAACACTTTGAATATTCAGATTATTTTATGAAATCTGTCTTATAAAACCAAATGTTTTTGTTGTCCTTTTAACATATCTGTTTCTCTACCCATCAGTTAAATTAATCAAGTTGAACCTTCACAGAAAATAATTTACAAGATATTATAGTCATGCCCCAAAAGTTTTGAACCACAGGTTCATAAGGCATCCAGTCTGTCATACCTATAAGGCTTTGCTGTCAGACCTTCATAGAGAGCCTATGGTTCAGCATCAGTTTCACACACAATTCAGGCCATCATGAGTCGCTGAATTCTACCAGGTTTTCGGTTGTACAGTGCATTAGAATATATTGATGAAACTGATTGTAAACTTTAGAGACCTGAATAAGGGGGCCAGCCCTTTATTTCCTGAGCCTCTCCTTAAAGAAGGCTTCCACAGAGTCGGTGTTCCATTTGTCAATTCCAAGAGTCTCGACCACATCACGTTTTTCGTTCAACAGCTTGATGATAGGGTCCGCGCCGCGGACGTACCTCACATTCAAACCAGGAAACTGTTTAACTCGGTCACTCTTGACAAATGCTGAAAATGAAACATGTTAGATTAATATTTAGTCATACATTCTCCTTAAAATTCAATCTAGATCTTGAATAATGGGATTTAAATAATTTTATACAGCATAATAATTTATTTTTCGGACTAACATCATTACATGGCATTTCTTGTGTACAATAGCGAATTTTTCAAGGACAAAAATACCATTTTACCTGTATCTTGTCTGTTTATGACTTACATTTAATACACAAAATAACCTACAAAATTCTTTTTTTCAAGTACAAAGTCTAAGATCACTTTTGACAGGTAGTATATGATGAAGCTTCTACAATATAAATGCCCAGTAAATGAAGAATCCACATAAACTATCCTACCAGGATATAAATCTCCTTCCACATTTGGAACCATGTCAATATGCTACAAATGATTTTGAAAGATGCACAAGGAAGAGTCGATGAATACCCGAATAAGGTGAGAACACTACTATATCAATTGACAGAGTTGTTAACTATACATTAGGCTTCATACTTTAATAACGAAAGAAATTCAAGCAATATTTATTGAGTTTTAACAATCATATAGTAAAAATCATAAGAATATATATATATGACTTTCAATGCATATTTCACATTGATAACATTTAACACTTTGATTTCAATGTTAAACCGACTATATCGATTCCAGAATTTGTAATCGATAATCTAAATTTAAAAGGGCAAACCTACAATTTTCGATTATAATCGATCATCGACCCATCACTAGTCAATATGTTGCGAATTATTTAAAAATATGGAAGAGACAATGAAGAGACAGAAGTTCACCAATAGATATTTTATATGAGTTTATATGGGAAGGAATAGATCTGCTGTATACTACCACTGCATGTCATGTAATTTGCACACCTATGTAATTTGGGCAGGTACTTTTCAGGCTGAAAATCTGAAAAAAGCTCCTACTCGAATAATTTAGGCACCAAATATATCTGGAAAAAAAACGATGTTCCGAAAATCGAAAGACAAACCGCTTGATATTTTTTGAGATATTTCTTAGGATTTTTGTAATTTGTTTATTATCAGGTAGTTCATATTTCGTGTTTACAGGTTCAATGATATTAAAAACCAAGAAGAAACTGTAAAATGTGAATTTGGTGTTTTTGTTTTCATTGAAATAATTTCTGATCACACATGACACACATGTGTGCATGTCTGCATACATCAATTCATTTTGGCTATATTTTGCATGAAACATTTACTTGTACTTTCTTTGGCATCTACCGTTTAGTGGACACTGAAGAAACAAAAAATGATCTGTTGCCCCATCACAACACTTAATATTTTTCTTTTTTCTCCGACCTGCTTGCCCTCCTCTTTTCTGTGTGATGTGTAAGGTTACTAAGGTAGCATTTAAACACATTTCCAAAAGGAATTTACTGAATCATTAACCATTAACGCTAATAATTTACTAAATCATTAACGCTTACCCTGAACCTGTGGAAACCTTCCCAATTTTCAGCTGCACACATGAAGTTCAGCAAATGGAAAGGTCTGGAAAAGAAAACAAATTTGTTTTATAACTTAAAAAGCCAATAAAACATTATTCATTTTGAATTGGTAATGTAGGATATTTACATCTTTTAAGGATCCCCATGCCACTGCCAAAAACAGTAACTACACATTGGAAACCATACATGTACCTTGCTTGACTATTATATATAAAAAAAAAAAAATGAAATACATAAAATATAATAAACAACAGTGTTCTGAATGTTAACATTTCCAGGATTCAACCCCCTGGAATTCAGATTGTTATGATATCATATCTAGTTATAGCCAAACTAAACAGGGGAGGTTACTATATGAAAATACACAGTGCAGTGGGATAGGGATCCTTTAGATAGCGGTTTTGTTGTGAAGTGTAACAGGTCCAGTACACTCTGCCGATTGAGCTATATACATGTGTAGCTGTAAAGACCTATAATAGCTCTATTGACCTATCTGAAATAGGTCTTTTGAGCTATTTTCAAGTGATTTTCTTTTTTAAGGAAAACGGAACAAAGTCGCATTTAAAAGAAGATTGTATTATTAGGTTGATAACAAAAGACATTAAATATAAGTATTCTTTTTAAAAAATAATGATGTAAAGAAATCGGAAATTTTACACTTATGAAAAATGAAAATAAAAAATCTTAAATGTATGCTTTTTGTAGTCAACATTTCCATTAACCCTAATGTTTTATGCGACTTTGCTTTCATTTAGTGAAATTGGAAATCTGAGAAAATATAGCTCAATACAGCTATAATTTATAGGTGTATATAGCTATATAGGTCTTTATAGCTATATAGTTCAATCGGCAGAGTGTACTGGACCTGTGTAACACGAGCAATTTACAGACGACACTTTTCCTGATCATATTTCCTGTGTATTTCATCACCAGAATTTAAGGAGCCTGGCCCTGAAACCAGTCTTACACATTTTGACAGATAGATGTCTGGTGTGGGGCCAGAGCGCACTCCTATATGAAAACATGGAATTCTCCGACACCATTTGGTGTCCGAGAGTTTTGAAGTGCTGACAACAAAAATCGACTATGGCACAACACATATATCGATAAATGGATAATCTTTTTATCCAAATCCGCTCTTATTATCACCAACAGCTGTTAAATTCCGTCAGTAGAGCCCTCGGTTTACAATCGTTCAAAATTTTCCACCTGAGCGGACGCCATTTTTGTAGGCCAGATCAGTGACTAATTAACAAGCCGTACCGATACAGACATTAAACGGAATATCGTTATTGTTTTTCGAAAATTTTCGAATCACCTCTTTTTGTTGTTTAGTCACTACCCTGCCCTACAAAAAAGGTGTCCGCTCAGGTGGGAAATTTTGAACAATTGTAAACCGAGGACTCTTCTGACGGAATTTAGCAGTATTAGGTGATAATAAGAGCGGATTTGGATCAACAATCCATTTATCAGTATGTGTTGGGTCATAGTCGATTTTTGTTGTCAACACTTCGAAACTCTCCCGACATCAAACTGTGCCGGAGAATTCCGCATTTTCATATAGGAGTGCTCTCTGGCCCCACACCAGACATCTATCTGTCAAAATGTCTAAGTCTCGTGTCAGGGCCAGAGGAAGCTCAGGCTAAGATTTTAAGTAGAGTTAAATTTACCTTTAAATCACTTCCTGAATCACTATCTTCATCACAACAGGCTAGACATGACTCCTCTAGCGGATTCAGGTTAAATTCACCTAGTTCTCTACACATACTGCACATCAGACCCGTGTTAAAACCAAGCTCGTTACATTTCTCCAAAGTCAAGCTACATTTCCCTCGATCGAAGTATAACTGAAAAATAAAGATAAAGAATTGTTATCTTCTTCGTAAAAAAGTTGCAAAAACCTTTTGAGTCACTTCATATATAATTGTAAATACCTCTTTATAATTTTAAGGAGTTCCTTGTTACATTCACCAAATTAAGTATACAAGACAGTTTCATATGGTGTTTCAGTTTGTTATACTCAGTATACAAACAATAATCAATAAATGGCTCATCTCATAAATGATATGTGCTAAACACAAATCTGGGCATTATTTATCTGATTTAAAAAAAAAAAATATTCTAGATATGCAACCATGTAATGAACGTTTTGATAAGAGGCTAATTGTTGGTCAAATAAAAGGGCCTGGTATATATATGCGGAACCACCAGTTTGTGACTCTTTTTAGATGTAACATTTTCTGGTATAAATGCAGGCCTTGCATTAAAAAACGAAAGCGGTCGAGATAAGGACTAGAATCCTAGACATTTCGGTACCCTGAATTACTAACATAGCAAGTACATGTACGAATTATGCTTAAACTTTCATGGGCTTCAACTTATTTGACTAAAGAAATTTGTTAAATGGTCATGAAGAAAGACTTAAGAGTTGTGTAGTTTTTCCCAAAGTGTCTTCAAATCAACCGGTGTCAGGTCGTTTGGTAGCAAGACGAAAGTCATTTCGGGATATTTCATATTTTTTAAGTTTAAACAATCGATTGGATAAAAGTTATTACAACTTATCGTAGCCTTCTCCCGTCATACATTTACCATTACATAATTTTAATAAAACATGAATAAATATATATCATATTCACAGACACAAATACACATAAAAAATATTCAAAATATATTGTTGAATTTATGAATTGATTCACATGTCTAAAATTTATTCTACGTGTTTCACGTTTTTACTTTCTTCATCTTCATCTGTTAGACTTCCTCCGTCGATACCGACGATTACGGAAGTAGGGTCATTGTGCTGATGTGCGTTAATTATGTACAGTGATTATTTTTTGACTTTTTTGTTATTTGCTATAGGATAAAAACAGGTTAAAAGCATTGAGTGAGTGTTAGTTGTGTTGTAGCTTTTGTATATGTTCGATTATGTTGTATGTGGTGCATGTCCTGAATTCTGCTAGTGTATTTGATTGAATTATTGTTGTGGGAAGGAGGTTCCATTGCATTATGGTGTATGGAAAGAATGAGTGTCTGTATGTGTCTTTGGATGTGTAGATATGTCTGTAACTACGGTCGTGTCCTTGACGTGTTCTGGTGTTTGCCGAGATGAGATTGTTAGTGTGTATTGCTACTTGTTGGTTTATTATTTTGTAGAGGAGAATAATGCGTGTTCTTGTTCTGCATGTGTGTAGTGTTGGCCATTGCAAGTTATGTATCATGTCTGTGACTGAGCTTGTGTTATGGTATTTGTTTAGGACATATCGTGCTGCTCTTCGTTGTACTTTTTCTAATTGGTTTATGTTATTTGTATAATGTGGGTCCCAAACTGAAGAGCAGTATTCAAGTTTTGGTCTTACAATGGCCTTGTATGCATGTTCTTTTATGTGTGTTGAATTTATTTTTAGGTTGCGTTTCAGAAAACCTAGTGATTTATTTGCATTTGATGTGATGTTGTTAATGTGTTTGTCCCAATTGAAGTTGTTTTGAAGTGTGATGCCTAGATATTTGTTTGAAGTTATTGGTGTTTAATTTGTGTGCGTTTTGGTGATATAGTGAGTATGGTGCATATCTGGATGGAATTTCATGAGCCAGTCCTCTAACCATTTACTAGCTGCAACTAAATCTGCTTGTAGTTTTGACGTGTAGTCTTTGTTGTTGATTGTTTTGTAAAGTATGCTGTCGTCTGCGAAAAATCTTAGTGTACTGTGTGATATGTATTTGGGGAAGTCGTTGATGTATATGAGGAAGAGGACTGGTCCCAAACAGGTTCCTTGAGGCACTCCAGATGTTACTGGGATTTTGTCGGAGTGTTCTCCCTCAAGTACTACTGTTTGAGTGCGTTGTGATAGGAAGTCTGTTATCCATGTTAATGTGGTTCCGGTGATGCCGTAATAATTTAGCTTGTACTGTAGGTGTTTGTGTGGGACTTTGTCGAAGGCTTTGGCAAAATCCATTATGATAATGTCTGTTTGTTTGTTGTTGTTGTGGTTCTGTGCAAGGTCTTGTATGAATGTAATGAGTTGTGTTTCGCAAGATCTTGATGTGCGTAAGCCATGTTGTAGGTCCTGCAGTATTTTGTTGTCTTCTAAGTGTTTCATGGTTGCGCTTGTGATGATGTGTTCTAGGAGTTTGCATGCAATACATGTGAGTGATATTGGTCTGTAGTTTGTTGGGTTGTATTCGTCTCCTCATGAAATGTAATTTCAAAATAGCAAAAATAAAATGCTTAGGCATTGTTAGAATCAATGTTAACTCATTTGTCTCTTAATGTCAATAATGGAGAACAGAGTGAATTGAAAACATATTATTACAATATCAATAGGCCTATCGGGTAAATGTTGGGAGGTATCCCCTCGAGCACTAGCAATCTGTTAACACTATAATGATTCTAAGCACGGGTACGTCGTGACACAGGAATTCAGGTCGTTTAGGGACCCGGTCGTTTCGGTACTTCTGATGAAAGTCATTTCGGTACTTATGGAAAACACATTTTGGTACCAAGTTATAGTCAACATCACCATTATTTCAATAATAACACATAACAATAACAATAGGTATTTCTATCCAAAATGGGACGCCGTCAAACTGAATACACATATCAGCCAAGGACATGAGTTTTTTGATAAATTTGATAGTGGAACCCTCATTTTTATGACAAGTTGGTGAATTCCCTCAACGTTGAGTTTCTTCTAAAGAGCTACTCCGCTGCTCTTGACAGTTAAAAGCAAATGTTAAATAAACAATCATCGCGTATGTTGAAAGCAAACGTTAAATAAACAACCAACAATAAATAACCAATGAGAAATATTATATTAACTAATAAAGGAAGTACCGAAACAATAATCAAAATTGTTGAAGTACCGAAACAACTTAAATACATGTACCGAAACGACTGTACCCCATGATACAGGTCATTTACAGGATTTTTTATGAAACGGGAGCGAAATGTAATTTATAAATGACAAATTTATATGTCCCGAAACGACTTGATTAAGTCCCAAAACATCTTGTGTCATGTCCCGAAACGACTAGCATTCGATCAACCACAAACTGACACGTGTAAAACATGAGGTCAATATCGTCAGCTGTTTTCTTCATTTTGAGCCATTCAAATGATTAAATGTCAAACAACATATTTCAATATTGCGCGCATTTCAAGGAGTTTATATGTGCAGATGTAAATATAGCAGTGTAATTGTATTTAGACGAAAACTCACCAAAAGAACGAAGACCAAAGACAGCAGACATAAGGGGTCCGCCATCTTTGGAATTTATGTTACTTCCGCTAAGGAACGACAACTCTGTTATTAAAGAATAACAATAAATAGAGTTTGATTAATAATTGTTTCTTTTAGTAAAAGATAATGATATTAATTATGTCTTTGTAGAGGAAGATGAAAATATTGTATTCTTACACAGCATTATACTAGACTTGTATTACTTCTTATATCTCTATATAATCAATCCTCGCAAAGCGAAAGTAGATTTAAAAGCGGAACTGGTATTGTATCCGGCCGGAATCAAAGGAAGGGTGGGGGTATGTCTAACTGATATGAATATGAGTCTGACTAGAATAAAATGGATGCAGGTTTTCGCTCTCTAAAAATTCCACATATTGTATTGAAAAAGGACACAACACTTGACTTGTGAAAATAGTCATTATGCGGCCAGAGCTGTTCTATTTAACACTATATTCTATCGTAGCCGACGCTCTGCCTTGAACTTTCTTCCACTTCAGTGCTGATTAAAAGTCAGCTCATCAAACATATAGCTCCGATATCTTTGTCTTATTCGACAAGCTATTCTTGTCATCGTTCTAATATATTTCACAGAATTTTACTTTCCATATTTATTTCTGTGTTAAATATGATTTCAATGTTATATTATAAGTATAAACCAAACTGACGCACTCTCTCCAGTGGTATATCAAAGCATAATTTTAAAATCGGTTGAATTTTAAGAAGTGTCCATCCTACATACACGTTCAAGTTAAATAATCTGGTTCTCTTGTAAACAAAACATATTTTCTTTATATTCTGAAACTTGAATTGTTGCATGCTTCGGTGGGCTTTAATGAAAACACAGTTTTGTTGTTTGGTGTTCAACATGCAATTTAAATCGCTGGCAATAATATCAAATCTTAAGAGGAATTTTGAATTGTTTTTGAAAATTGCACCCTCCTGTTCTCTTTGAAACATTGAACAAACCCAGATCCCTCTATCACAATGTTCATGAATATTCAAATGAGCCAGGTTAAATGTGAAGAGGTCGGCCGTTTTGATAGATATTCTATCACCTGATCCAATGGATGCATAGCACTGATTACCGAGGATGGAGGTATTTTAGTGATCTATAACATATGTCTGAGGTTGTTGTATCATTTGTGTCCGTTTTCAAATTATGCAAGATACATTTACATTTATGCCAGGACAAAGAGGATGTTCTTTATTTCTTTTATTTACGAATTAGTGATTATTTTATATATTCTTCACGACTTGTTAGGTTTGCATGTATGTATGTGTGCTGAAAGCAGGGTATATTGGTGTATTTGCCTCCTGGTGATAGCGCGGATCTAAGGTCGACTTTACAGTGCTATCTCACTGAAATACTATGCCGAGGGCACCAATCACAGCATTGCCCCCGATCACATTATACTAACAAACCAGTAGTTGGCATTTCTCTAATGGTTGAACGTTGTGCAGGGAATAACAACTACCATGTTTAAGGACTTCGGTATACATGCCCCGCCCTGGGGACAGGACCCTGGTTTGCCTTCCTCATCTGGGCGAACATTCAACATTAACCAGCCAAACTGAGGTATTGCCAAGCAAGGCCAGTCAACTTAACTGCTCAGAAATATTTATTTGCTCAAGACCAATATATTTGGGCCCTTGTCGAAATTTGTTCTGGCCTAACTTGCTCCAATCTCCCTACAGCGGATTTATTTCAGTCGCTTTTTGGGTCCCCGCAGAGGGCTAAAACGCAAATCCCTTATTTTGCAGGGGCTCCAACATCATTGTCAGTTCTTAAACGATAATTCAGTGGGTAACAGCAGGTATATATAAAAAAAAAAATTTTTTTTATATATTCTTCACTGACGAGTTCAAAGCCCATGAGAAAACTTTAACATTCAAACCAAGGCTAGTGACTGTTTATTACTCTTTTTTTTTTTTAAATTACAAAGCCAACGAGTTTACGTGCATAGATAAGTATATGCTTCCCGCTAGAAATCCTACCAGAACTCAGTGTCTTGTATTTATTTTGCAGTACTCCTGAATATATACAGGAGACGGGTATGCAGAGGTTCCCAAACGAGTGATGATTGGATTATCACGTTAATCTAACTCGAGTTAGTTAATTTTCAAATTGTATAAATAATGACGCAAACGTCAGATAAAACATAATACACGTCTCAAAGCATGTTATTGACGTCACAATTAGATTTACCAATGAAGAGGTCCATTAAGGTTTAACCAGTCATTAGTGAGGAAACCTATAGCTGTTGTAAGAGAAACCACAGGGACATGAGCATTTGTTACAACTATATTTGGACCTAAACTAAGGTGTTCAGAGTAATTTTACACGTTTAAGGGGTTTATCGGTTGTTTGGGATGGTATTTTTACTATTTCTCTGAACACCTTAGCTTAGCCTTTAGGTCCAATTTTTTTATATAGTTAACAAATTCTGTTCNACTGGGTATATAATTAATAGAATCTTTCACCCCCTTGGGGGTGAGATAGGAGAATCTCAACCCGAGGGGAAGATTCTTAAGTTGCCAAACACGGGGCTTTGCCGAGTGTTTGGCAACTTAAGAATCTTTTCCCGAGGGTGGAGATTCCCTTATCTCACCCACAAGGGGGTGAATGATTCTTTTTCTCTTACCCTGTTCTCCCATTGTGTATCATATACACAATGTAACGATAACGTTACATGCTAAATTCAGGGTTGACGTGACGTTGGCGGTTGTTGACGTGACGTCATTGTATTGTTGAAGCGACGTCATCCCTTGTTATGAATAGGTGAATCCCCCCGTCTCAACCCTAGGGTGAGACAAGGAAATCTCACACCGGTAAAAATGCGGATACACTTGTCCAGGGTAAGAGAAAAGGAAATCTCACACCGGTAAACGTGCGGATACACCTGTCCAGGGTAAGAGAAATGTATTTTTCTGACCCATCAAGTTGTAAGACTAAAAAATGTAGTCTAGGTAACCTCTGTATTTGGCATTGAAGCTCCTCATTATACTATCGTATGAGTAATAGAATAGAAGAAAGATAGTATAATGAGGAGGTGTATTTTTTCAGATTGGTCCAGTGGTTAACTAGGCCTAATGTCACGTGTACGATATCCAAGAGTGGGTTTTATACTGAGCGCGCGTTTTACTCGCTGCGAAACCTCGTTCACTCTCGCGTGATCATAAATCTGTGGTTACAAGAAAACAATATGGAGGTCGCCACCGGGGGAAGTGGAAAGTTCAATATGTTTACCAACTGCAAATAAACAGCGTCATGGCCTGAAATCACAACAAAAGACTCGATCATGGCGACTTAGATCACAGATCGTATCCCTGACTTCAACATTAACTATCGAGTCGGGATTTACACGATAAAACATGAAAATGACGTGCAACTGGTGCAAAGAGGACTATTTTTCATTGTTGATCTCGACCGATAAAAAATCACATGGCGCACTGGAAATGCTTGTAGATGATCTCCATGCGGATAAGGAAGCGACCATTGGAACGTTTTTAAGTCATTCTGGTGCCGAGGATTTTCTTTGGGGTCTTGTACGGCTCCTAGGATGTGACAATCCAAGGTAAGCTGGACAACGATTTTGACAGGTGCCCGTTTTTGTTATAATTTACATGTGCTTGGTAGTCTACCATTGAAACACTCTTTTTAGTTTGACATGCAATTGCATTTGACGTATTTCTTGCTTAAAATTTTACATCATTAAGCCGATCTATCATTTTCAGAAGTTTCTGTAAGACATATAGTACAGTTTTTATTGTTGACTGCAGAACGTATCATACCTACAAGCCTACACCAATATTTCTAGTCACGTCATTGTGTCTAAAAGGTTAGGTATACTGTATAAGTCTTATATATATGTATGAGTAGTTTTGTTATTGTCTTCTACTATCTATAGATCTAATATCATGTTCATATCAACTTTTATCATCAACTTCATTGTTTTCTATGTAATAACCAGTAGAACACAACTTCTTTGGCCTTTAATGTGGCTAACCCAGTAACTCCTTGGTCAGATTTTTTTTAAACAGTTAACAAGTTTTATTTAGTCTAGCTCCAGATGCTTGGAGGCTGGTAAGATATTAGAATGACCCCGCTATATCTTACCCTGATGGCATCCAAAACAGGTCTAGCTTATGTTATAACCGCCAGGTTTATTAATGACATTTACACAGAAATCCATAAATCCAGAGCGACTCAGTTTAAAACATATTCTTGGCATATATACATTCTTATGCAGTTTTAATTTTCTGTGGACTTATTAATAATAAGAACTCTTGTTATATTTTGTCATCATTAAAATTATAGCCTCTATCTACTTTGGAAATACTCTATTACTTTTTAGTTAATGCAGTGCATCATATCTAAAAAGTGTATATATATATTAATATTATTTTGGGGCATATGATATACCATGTATCAAGATATATTGCTTTTTTTCTATTTACAGTAACATTAGTCTCACATTAAAGTGTACTTGTGAAATCTGTGAATGTTGAACACATTTCCATTGTACTAGCCGAATAGGTACTTTTCTGACAGTTAACTTTCTTTAACTATGAACTTTTAGCATATATATATATAAATATGTATGTATGCATTAACATATATTTTATCAAAATACATTATCAAAGATGTCAGTGTGTTTGTGCATATTAAATTATACCTTGATTGTGGTGTAATAATATTCCATTCTGTTTTACATTTGCACAATGCCATAATTGTGTATCGCCACGAAATATTGTGATATGCATCAACACTTTGTTGTTACTGCTTTATGAGGCAGTAGACTTATATGTATCTGATATTTTGACATCTTTTGGAAATAATGTTAGAAGTAAAAATGCTGTTTGTGGTACAAGTTAGAGATTGAAGACAGTGTTCTTTTAAATATATGTTGACCTGTCTTTAAATTTCTTAAGTGTTTCCAATCTCTCATATATTCAGTATCTAAAGACATTTACACATCCTTTTTTTACCATAAAATAAAGATTTGAAAAACCATGTAATACTGTATTCCAATAATTATACCAAATTTTGTTTAAACAAGTGTCCCAATAACTTTCCTATGTAGTAATAGTTGATAGGGAGCTTTTCTATTATTCTCACTAATAAAGTATGCACAATGTTAGTACATGAACTGGGGCGATCCTTAAGATGTTGTTTGTTTTTAATGTTAGCAGTTTCCGGACTGACTCTCTGAAAAAGGCACTGACTCAAACTTTATTTTGAAACTTTCGGTATTTATTTTTACTGAAAAATCATTGAGGCTTAAAGTTTTTAAAAAACATGAGATTTCTAAAGATAAAAAAAAAAGAATTCCCATCCTACCTTCCCACTGAAAGAAATGTGAGTAGGGAAATGAAAACCTATTTTTTTTAATGATGGCCTGGGTATTGTATAGATGGTGCCCTTACTCCTTTTCAGACAAAAATGGGGACTTTCGCATAGTTTGAAAAAGATTATTGAAAATTAATGGGGTCTTTAGGAATTTCTGTGCATAAAAAACATATGGGAATTCCATCAAAACAAATCCTAATACATACATGTACATGTATTATATATCTCTGGTAGCCTGAATAATATTCAAGATATACAATGTTATTCAATTGAGTAAAAGTTGGCTATATATACAATAACAATTTCCTTTTGCATCTTGAAGTGTATATATAGTAAGTAATAAGTATTTCAGAGAGCTAAGGGGGTGTTAACATTGTTGGGGAGCACAAAAAGAGACACTATGTTCCTGTACATAGTGAAAAGAGAAAGTGGAAGAGAAATCAGTGACCTATGAGGGGGTATAAGCCAAGTACACTTTGTAATAGAAGGAAAACAGAATGATTTCATGCACTGCAGGATTAATTGATCTGGAATTGAATATTTTATTGACACTGGAGAAGTGGGATTGTTTGATCTGTGTGTTTGTATGGATTAAAATACTAACAGATAGTCATTTCAGACCAACTCGATGTGCTTTAAACATGTTGTTCACTTTAGTACAGTCAGATTGGATGTATTCAGCTGTAAATGTTCCAGAATTTTGGCAGTCAGTTTTAGAAGAAAAACAATTATTTTAATAGAATCTGAAAATGTTTCATTTTGATTGAACTGCAGAGGGTTTAAGGAGTGGAAATTTATATTTGATTTTTGATCTAATCGTTCAGATTTTTATAAATAATTTTAAGTTTTTAGTCATATATATGGAGACTACATTTTCTCCCATCCTTCACAGGCGTGTCTCCCCTTTTAGCCGGGAAAGATCAGCTTGTCACCCCCTAGGGGGAGATAACCTCGTGCCATTTAGCATGGGTTCAATTGTGACGTCATTAAAATGCGTCATCGGTAATTGTGATGTCATCAAAAGTGAATGACGATATGCATAAACCACATGTGTTTTTGTTGGCAGACTACTGTTGAGGTAGTTGTGACTGAAAAAAAAGGATGGGAGAAAAATTATCATCCCCTACCTTGGGGGTGTGACAGAGAAATCTCCAACTTGAGGGTGCTTTTTTTGGTTGTCTAACCCTTGGCAGAGTCTCGGGTTAGACAACCAAAAAACATCACCCTCAAGTTGGAGATTTCTCTGTCACACCCTCAAGGTAGGGGAAGATTCTATTAATCTATGTGAAGAAATAAAAATAACACCTACTTGTGTGGTATGATGAGATTGCCTTACAATTCTTTATAGGGTTATTTATGATAGATCAAGGAAGGGCTTCACTGCTACTGATGGAACTGATAATTACTGACTGAAGTTTAGTTATCAGACTATAATGTAATAACGTGTATACAGTACAATATTACTGCAAAACAATGTGTAGAACATTTATTACACATTCCTATACAGTAATGTCTACTCTGGTAAAATGGTAACGTCTCTGATTTAATTTGAGATAAACTAAATACACAAGGTATTTAATTCTCCTATCAGGGAGAGTTGCTCACTGTGTCGCCAAATACATTTTTTCAAATTTTATTTATTCAAACCAATAATTTGATCTCCGAGATTTGAAGAATCCTTTAAAAACATTGCCTTTGATGATCTAAAAACAGACTTGTCATTTTAGTAACATGTTATTTTGATATTCTGATGTTCTAGGGTATGATAATAAGGAGAATTTCTTCTATATGAAATTTGATCTTGAATTGTAGACTATTAATATCAACTGTTCTGTCTTAACTTTCCAAACAGTATGGTACAATCCTTCAAATGTAAAGGACCTGTGGTAACCTGGAGGAAAACTTGAGATATATTAATTCACAAGTATCAAGTTTCTCTCTATATATCTTACTGTCATGCATGTGTAATATAGGCCATGATTCATGCTCGCTATAGAGAAGCTGAACATTTAAGATTTATTACGAGGGCACGATCTTGTCTTCTTGCACATGCATAAATGTTTTTTGAAATATAATCAATTTCAAACATTTCCTGAATTTCATCAATTATTAAGAGCCAGCTCGTGCCTACAAAGAAAAGTTTTGAAAGAGAAATTGAAAAAAAAAATATACCACAACACTTTCTCTTTGAAAATATTTGTATTGGTTTGTTGGATGGGCTTTGCTCTGGTTCATATGATCAATAACTGCTGATTTAATGGCTGTCTGTGTTATAAAAGCAGTACCACACATCTGTATCTAACGTCCGTATAAGTCTGTGCAATATATGAGTGCTATCAAAGCAAGTCCAGATGAGGACGTGTGGTCTTACATTCCAACACACCTACATCTGGTTTTAAATACATATATACAGAAAAAATAATATTCATGATTATCCGGTATTAATGCTCGTTGTTCCAAATACTTGACCGAACCTGAAGACAATGATGTTGAGGATGTAATAATAATGTCACAAAACTGATAATGTTGTTATAACATGTTATAGCAAACCATTCGTGTTCCAGTCCTGCTACCAAAAATGAGTTCTTAAATTGCTACTAGTAACATAAAATACAAATTTCTTGTACATGGTATTGCCTTATTTAAATTGCCTTATTGGTACCTAGCTTTCCTATTATATTTTTTGGAAACTGGCTGTGTAAGCACTAAAGATTCACTAGGTATTTAATAATTAGTGTTACATAACTATTGTCTCTTATCAAGCATGCTACGTACCATTACACGTTTTCTTGAATATTTTATTGTAGTGATTTGCTTTGAATAACTTATACATGAGGATCTGGATCTACAAATAGAAACGTTACGATTGGTTAGTTTTAGCAGTATATTTATCTAAATTATTCAATAATGCTACACAGTTATAAAATAGTTATACTATTTTACAAAGATCATGGAAAACAGTCTTAGAGCTTAGATAAATTCCTCTTCCAAAAATATCTCGGTAAAGAATATATAATTTTACTTCCATTGTAAATAATATCTAACCAACCTTGAGTGGTAGCGATTAACTCACCCCTCTTTCTGTCAGTAGGAGTTAATAATTAAAATACACATTCCTTGCACCACTACACATGTACAAGTTTGTATGCCCAATGTACATTTCATACCAAATTAACACACATTGTAATTTGTTAACATACAATTCAAATTGTAATCAAAATTGAG